GCTGAAGGACCAAAGAAACGCACTAGTGGACAATCTTTGACGCCATTATTTTGAAAAAGTGATGATCAGGTAAGTACCATAAGTCAACTATATATAACAGAAACGCCGTGTCTCAAAGTTAAAGTATTTACGGACAGGATTGGGCGTAGTGCATGACCAACTACGTCGTTCATTTGATCCTCAACGTGTACATCAACGGGACATCTGCCAAGATCTTGGTCTGAGCTTCAGCAGGTATGTGCGTAAGAGTGCTAGCCAAAAATCTAGGGCTCAATTCGCAAAGGAATTACTCTATGAATGAGGTCTTTGGAAGGGAAAGATCGTTGGGCGACCCTAAAAAGCAATGTTACTTGGATACCGTCCTTGTATAGAAGGCGTTTGACATAGCACGATCTTTCACGGAGGTGGAAAGATGCCTACGAAGGCGAAGTTTCCCACTCAGGTGTTTACACTCCATCGGTTTAAATTCATAAATCAGGAAAGATATCATCAGTAATTACGAAAGGGCTAATTCAATGTCTGCCGCAAGGCTTGGTCCCCTGTCCACAACTGCAATAACCATTTTTGAAAGTGTATGTCTATCGGCAGGGAACATGCGCTAGTGGAATTTGGTTGATCAACTGACTATCGATTAATGAGGAAATGTACAAGGCTCTATCATTGTGGCACTCAGGCTGACACGCAGGTAGGCCCTACGGCTGTAGTCACCTCAACGGTGAGAAACTGGGGGAGATCGCACCTTGAACCCCCTGTCAGTTGAGTGCTTGCATCGCATGCCATCGCGTATTTTCACTCAGCACCTCTCACCTGAGAGGGAAGTACTATCCTTGTCTCCTTCACACGTGGCTACGCTGATGCCTGTGTGATTCGAGCGTGGGACCACCACGGTTTGCTAAGCACCGAGCCTTAGAAGGTTGCCAACTGACAGTTAAACTTAGACCTCGCAGTTAGTCCAATATGTGTTTGGGATGAGTGAGCGACTGGTGGTCTAGGAGTCAGGCTGCAATGGTTCCTTTTTAACTTGACCTCTGGAATTCTCACTCATTCGAAGTGTGAGCCATTCCACCCCTTTTGTGTGATATCCCAGTGCTTGTATATCGGGGGCAGATCGTATACGTAGTACGCGTAGACTAGGTCCCTAGATAGATTGACAGCTGCTCAAACTCCCCATATGAGTCCACTGATCGGCTCGGACGTTAGTCGAGGCTTGAGAATGAGAAAAGCGAGTGAGGGCGACGACTCGGCTCCAACTTGTTTGCTTTTTAGCACTGCCAGCTGACGCATATACCGATCACAGTGCTCACTGTGTGCTGCATGTGGATTGGCTGATGAGTGGACTGGAAGTCAGAAAGCGTCGGCTCCTTCTATTCCCTTGGTTATGTGTATCGCTGTAGTGGTCGCTGTTGCCCGACGCCCTCATAAATCGTGATGCCACAGACGAAGTCACTCAGAGTACAGGACCTCGCGTGAAGGCAGTTTTCGGCAGGCCTCGAGCCAGACGCAAACTGACGCGCGAGCGAACACACGCACCGTGTCTCCCCATTCTGGCCTCAGCCAACAGTGGCGTGACCTTAATCCGTCTGGACAGACTTCAAGGCCGTGGCTACTGCTAGCCATAATTCCGGACCTCGCCCTCCTGGCGGATAGACGTGCGCTCTGTTAGTCAAGACTTCGTCCTAACTATTCTCTTTCCGTCTGCACAGAATACACTCTTCCTTACACTCTGGCCTTCACAAGACTTCTCTCATCTCCTAAGGAATCGGCCTGGAAGATCGTAGCTGTTAGGGTCAACCTGACTAGCATTAACATGTTGCCATAGGCCTGTCAGCCGTTGCGCCCATCCTAGATCAGGGACCGATTGGTTAGGCGGTGTCTTGATGCTGGCGATGGGGGTGAGAGTGAGGTCTATCCTCAGTGCATTTCTTCCCTCATAATAAACAATCTGACGCGCTTGAAACTATCACGGTACGCTAAAAGCCGTGCATCCGAGGGTTGCCAACTGACGGGATAACTCGGACCGTGCATTCAGTTCAGTGCATGTCTTGTAGTGTGGAGTGGCTGACTGGCGGACTGAGAATCAGGCTGCAATGGCTCCCTCTTCATGTGACCTTTGTGGTACTCCCACGCACGCAGGAACTTACCCAACAAGGTGTGCTATTGGTACGCACATTGAAGTTTATAGTTAAATCCATGAATTTTATTGAGCAAGAAGCAATAACAGTTAGAGAAAAATCGGACGTTCTGAACTTTCCACGTACCTTCTGCCTCGAGTACAGTTCGTAGATGGGTTTCAACTTGAGCAGTTCTAGGCGAATCTCCTTGAGTTCTGGGTAGGAGGAGATCGGTAGATCTAGAAGTCTTTCGCTGCTAAGCAGGTCCAGCCTCTCAACCTCCAGTGCTTCACTTTCCTTGATGAATGCAGATAGGCTTGTAACGCCCCTATCCAAATCGTTGGCCTCTCCACCGGGGCCGGCTTTTTTGTATCTGAACTTGCACAAAAAACGTGTTTCACACCAATATGCTACGCTATGACCTAGCGCCAATCCCCTTTTCTCCACGAAACAAGTACAAGTAAGTACAAGTACTATGACAGTGTCTGTCAGACGAAAAGAGAGCACCATGAATGGAGCGCGCATACATGAGCATAAGCAGGCCTGTGAGGCGGTGGACGGCGGATTATCACAAGTGGCTGCCCACACCTCTACGCAACAGGTCACCATTTTAACTTCGCAATCGCACCAAACTTATCGCCCAGACCAGAAGCTATAGATACCATGGGAATAAATTGAACCCTGGTCCATGAGTGGGAACTCAACCAATCGATGTATCGATTCGCCGCCAACGTACAGAGCCCTGCTGAGCCACATTCGGTCTGGCGTTACCGATGTTTTATCGGCCCCTACCCCCTATAACTGGTGTTTATTCCGTTGCCTCTGTTATCTCTTACGACATACTCTCGTAAGTGTTCCATGGTTCAGATGTGTGATGACAGGATCCCGGCGAGCAGACAGCTTTCTTCTTTATTCATTTCTCACTCGATATGGATCAAGCTTTATTAAATCGGATCAGTGAGAGTTGCCGTACGGCAAGGCTAAGAAATCAGCGTACCAACACCATCATATCGGAGTACCGAATCATCAAGAGGATTGCGAACCTCCAAAGCTAAAACTTAAAGGTGAGATTAGCAGCTCATATCCGCTTCTATCTCTCTTGCTGTCCTCATGACCAGTTTAAACATTCCTCCATGAACAGCGCATGCTTTCACTGTAAATCGAAAACCAGTTATAGAACTCAGCAGGCATTTGGGTGTTCAAGCCTCCCTTCAGAGGCCCAATAGGTATGTTGGTAGGAGTAGATTGGTGGCTACTGAACGGTTACGGAACTCACTCGTTCCGTTTTGTTTTGGGACTCATTTTCGAACCCTGCCAGTAGCCGCTCAGTGGCTAGTATGTTATAGGCAGAAGACTTGCCGGTAACGTCTTCCGCTATTGCTTTTAGGTTTGGACAAAAACGGACAAAAAAATGCCTGAGTCCCAGTTCTTCAGTATGAAATTAACTAGCTTACTCGGTGTTTTCTCAAGTGCTATGCACATATCTCTAGGCAGAACGCCGCCAGAAGGAACGATTCAAACCTCAACAGCAGATGCGCATCAGAACCGCCAAACAGCGAGCAACTTGGGGCTTGGAATCCGCACCATCCGGAGACCTCCCTCTCTACATTTTCTAGAACACAATATTTACAGTCCTTGATGAACGCTCACTGACCTCTAACGGAACTCACCTTTCCCTCTCTGCCTTGGATCTCCTTTCTCGAATCCTGACAGCAGCCGTAGCGTCTAGTAGTATGGCTATGACTGGTATGACTGGCTGATGACGGCTAGTAAACCAGAAATAGCCATTCAGTGTCCTTTTTCTTCGCTGGCATTGCCGGCAATAATATCTGCCTAAGACTACTAGCCGCTACGGCTGCTGGCAGGACCTGAGAAATGGAATTCAAGGCAGAGCGAGACAAGTGTGTTCCGTTAGCGATCGGTGAACATTCATTAACGCGTGTGTCAATATCTCCCGACCGAAACTGACAAGATAACGAGCTCGTAGTGACTCAATGGCTAGGGCGTTAGATTCTGAACGAAAAGATCGCGGGTTCCAGCCTTGAGTGGTGCACTACTTGGGATTGGGTATGACTGGATGACGACAGCTAATTAGCCAGAAATTGCCATTTCAGTCTGCCCTGTCTTTGCCGGCAGCACTATCTGCCTAATATTTACAGTGCCTGTAGACTCCAGAACATGAAGTCCGCATTCGAACCTCCGTCGGAACACGGAGATGCCAGGCTGAGGTTGAAATATCTGCTTATCGCTGAACTACTTTATCATAGTCAATGTCTAAGCTGGTTCTACAAAACAACAGTCAGGTTCGTAGTAAAAGCGACAAATAGTACAAAACAGAGGGTGTCTGTGTGTGGACAGGCCTCACGTACTTGTCACAGAACGCAATCACTCGTTTCCTAAAGTCCTTCACCACATCCACGATACCAACAGCAAACTGTGCCTTCATGGGGGCAACATTTTCGGCCAATTGGTAGGACTTCTGCATAATGGCATTCCAACGACGTCTCAGCGTGATGGGTGAAATCCACTCGGACTCTGTGATTTGTGACAGAAAATCTTGGTCTCCGTACTGGCGAATAATACGGTACCGTTCGGCCATCTCGATGACGGTTTCATCAATAATTTCGCAGAGACCACCACGCAATTCTGTCATGATGCTCAGCAGTTCCTTCATTTGAGGCAGCGTGACCGGACGCTTCTTCAGAACCTCACGTTTGGCCTAGAAAATAAGTGGTAAAGAGAAGTCGACGGCAGATACTCAAGATGATCATCGAACGGCAGATAACTCTATGATTATGATAAGGATTACTCTTACTGTGCGTAAAGAGTTGAGGTCCAGATACCATATCGCGTTCCTCATCTCCCGATGAGGAAGAAGAGGGGGCCAGTTCTTGGACCGAGTTATGGTTATGCTGACATTTCAAAAATATGCTCGTTATCATCTGCAGAGTGTCGGCCTTTAATTAGTGCACCTTATATTGTAAGCGTGCCCAATGCGCCTGTTGGCCGTTGATTGGTTGTGGCCTATCCCCTATTGACCAATGGCGGGCTCGCGTCCACTTCGCGGCTGACGCGGTTGACGCTACGTTGTTGTTGTTGTTGTTGTTGTTGTTGTTGTTGTTGTTGT